AAAAAAAAAAAAAAAAAAAAAAAAAATATGTATATATAACATAAAATTGATCATTAACCATTTTTTAAATTAAAAAAAAATTTTTTTGAGGTTGGGATAAAAGTTCTTTCTTTTTTTCTCTTTTTTAATTTTATTTTACTTTAAGTTTGGGGGTACGTGTACTGAACATGCTAGTTTGTTACATAGGTATACATGTGCCATGGTGGTTTGCTGCATCCATCACCCCATCATCTATATTAGGTATTTCTCCTAATGCTATCCCTCCCCTATCCGCCCACCCCCTGCTATTCCTCCCCTAGTACCTACCCCCGCACCGGCCTTGGTGTGTGATGTTCCCTTCCCTGTGTCCATGTGTTCTCATTGTTCAGCACCCACTTATGAGTGAGGACATGCAGTCTTTGGTTTTCTGTTCTTGTGTCAGTTTGCTGAGAATGATGGTTTCCAGTTTTATCCATGTCCCTGCAAAGGACATGAATTCATCCTTTTTCATGGCTGCATATTATTTTATGGTATATATGTGCCACATTTTCTTTATCCAGTCTCTCATTGATGGGCATTTGGGTTGGTTCCAAGTCTTTGCTATTGTGAACAGTCCCACAATAAACATGTGTGCATGTGTCTTTATAATAGAGTGATTTATAATCCTTTTGGTATCTACCCAGTAATGGGTTTGCTGGGTCAAATGGTATTTCTATTTCTAGGTCCTTGAGGAATCACCATAGTCGTCCACAATGGTTGAACTAATTTGCACTCCCACCAACAGTGTAAAAGTGTTCCTATTTCTCCACATCCTCCCTAGCGTCTGTCTCCTGATTTTTTTTTTTTGAGACAGAGTCTCGCTGTGTTGCCCAGGCTGAAGTGCAATGGCATGATCTTGGCTCACTGCAACCTCTGCCTCCCAGGTTCAAGCAATTCTCCTGCCTCAGCCTCCCGAGTAGCTGGGATTATAGGCGCCCGCCACCGCACCCAGCTAATTTTTTGTATTTTTAGTAGAGATGGGGTTTCACTGTGTTGGCCAGATGGTCTTCATCTCCTGACCTCATGATCCAACTGCCTTGGCCTCCCAAAGTGCTGGGATTACAGGCATGAGCCACGATGCCCGGCTGTCTCCTGATTTTTAATGATTGCCATTGTAACTGGAGTGAGATGGTATCTCAATGTGATTTTGATTTGCATTTCTCTAATGACCAGTGATGATGAGCTTTTTTTCATAATCCTAGCTACTCAGGAGGCTGAGGCAGGAGAATTGCTTGAACCTGGGAAGTAGAAATTAAAGTGAGCCAAGATCATGTCATTGCACTCCAGCCTGGACAACAAGAGCAAAACTCCATCTCAAAAAAAAAAATTATATAACATACAATTGATAATTAACCATTTTAATGTATATAATTGGTGTTTAGTATATTCCCAATATTGTGCAGCCATCACTTCCATCTATTTCTAAGACACTTTTATCACCCTAAAAGGAAGCCTCATTCCTATCCCCTCTCTCCTCCCTCAACTCCCTGGCAACTACTAATTGGCTTTCTTTCTGTATGGATTCATCCATTCTGGATATGTGATATAAGTAGAACCATTCGTTATATGACCTTTTGTGTCTGGCTTCTTTCACTTAGCGTAATGTTTGCAAGGTTCATTCATGTTTCAGCATATATGAGACCCTCATTTTTTTTATGGTTGAATATTTTCTGTTGTATGGATAGACCACATTTTGTTCATCCTTTCACTGGCTGATGGACATTTGAGTTGTTTCCACTTTTTTGTTGTAATGAATAATATTGCTGTGAACATTCACATGCATAGTTTTAGGTGGACATAGTTTCATTTTGTTCATTTTCTTTGTAGTTACCTAGGCATGGGTCATGTGCTAATTTCACATTTAACATTTTGGGGAACTACCAAACAGCTAAAGTTTTGTTTAGTACATTATGTTCCATAGCGCTAATGTGGACAGAATCTTATCTAATTCTCAAAACCACATGTATAGCAGACAGCATAGATGCCACCCTGTGTTAGCTATAATGCTTATTTCTCCTTAGCATGCTAGGCACTTACTATTTTGTTCTCTTCTTATTTATTTATTTATTTGGCTGGGTGCGGTGGCTCACGCCTGTAATCCCAGCACTTTGGGAGGTCGAAGCAGGCAGATCATGAGGTCAGGAGCTCAAGACCACACTGGCCAACATGGTGAAACCCCATCTTTACTAAAAAATACCAAAAAAATTAGCTGAGCATTTTTTAGCCACCTAAAAAATTAGGTGGCTCATGCCTGTAATCCCAGCCACTTGGGAGGCCAAGGTAGAAGAATTGCTTGAACTGGGACCTGGGAGGCGGAGGTTGTAGTGAGCCAAGATCACGCCACTGAACTCCAACCTGGGCTACAGAACGAGACTCCATCTAAAAAAAAAAAAATGTTATTTATTTATTTAGAGATGGAGTCTCACCCTGTTGGTCAGGCTGGAGTGCAGTGACTCGATCTTGTCTCACTGCATCCTCTGCCAACTGGGTTCAAGCGATTCTTGTGCCTCAGCCTCCTGAGTAGTTGGGACTAAAGGTACGTGCCACTATGCCCAGCTAATGTTTTGTGTTTTTAGTAGAGACAGGTTTTGCCATGTTGGCTATGCTGCTCTTCAACTCCTGACCTCAGGTGAGCTGCCTGCCTCGGTCTCCCAAAATGCTGGGATTATAGGCATGAGCCACAGCGCCCAGCCTCTCTCCTTTTTTAAATAAAAAATTTTACTTTTCCCATTTATAGCAGTGGTATAAAGTGTACTTATTTCAGTTACAACAAAGTGCTTGATTTAAATAAAAATATTAATAGTAGAATAGTTGATATGAAAATCTTGACAGGCGAGGTGGCTCAAACCTGTAATCCTAGCACATTGGGAGGCTGAGGTGGGTGGATCACTTGAGCCCAGGAGTTTGAGACCTGCCTGGGCAACATAAGTAAAACTTCATCTCTACCAAAAATACAAAAATTAGCTGAGCATGGTGGTGCATGCCTGTAGTCCCAGCTACTAGGAAGGCCAAGGTGGGAGGATCAGTTGAGCCCAGGAGGTTGAGGCTGCAGCGAGCTGAGATCATATCTCTGCACTGCATGTAGCCTGAGTGACAGAATGAGACCCTGTCTTAAAGAAAAAAAAAAGAAAGAAAATTTGTGTCAGAGACCAACCTCCACATTCACTAATACCCATATTCCCTCTTCTTTCAGTCAGCTGGATTGTGTTTTCCAGCCTTTCTTGCACTTAACAAAGGCATGCCCGAACATTTCTTAATGGATAGAGGTCAGCAGTTGGGACTTAGTGACATCTGAGTAACTGTAATGGAAATGTCCAGGCTTGTTCCCTACTGATCAGTAATCTTAGTTGAGTCATAACTACCCCTTGTCCGGATTTCATGATATAGGATGCTGATCCACAATATTCCAGTTGTCTGCTCAGATTTGTGTATCCTTTGCAGTATTTATTTAGTGCCTACTATGTATTAGGTACTCTGCAAATCCTTGAAGAATTTATAGTCTTGTGTGTAGACATAAATATTTTCTTTCCTTTTTTTTTTTTTTTTTTTTTTTTTTTTTTGAGACATGTTCTCACTGCAGCCCAGGCTGGAGTGCAGTGGCATGATCACAGCTCACTTTAGCCTGCACCTCTTGGGATCAAGCAATCCTTCTGCCTCAGCCTCCTACGTAGCTGGGACCACAGGCACATGCCACCACACCTGGCTAATTTTTTAACTTTTTGTAGAGATGGGGGTCTCACTTTGCTGCCCAGGCTGGTCTTGAACTCATGGGCTCAAGTGGTCCTCCTGCCTAGGCCTCCTGAAGTGGTGGGAATACAGGTGCGAGTTACCACACCCAGCTTATTTTCACTCCAATATGATAAGTGTTCAAATTGATAGGAACACAGAGGAGAGGTATTTAATTTGATTTTAGGTGGCTCAGGGAAGGCTTTCTTTTTTTTTTTTTTTTTTTTGAGACAGAGTCTCAGTCTATCTCCCAGACTGGAGTGCAGTGGCATGATCTCAGTTCACTTCAGCTTCTGCCTCCTGGATTCAAGTGATTCTCCTGCCTCAGCCTCCTGAGTAGCTGGGATTATAGGCATGCACCACCATGCGTGGCTAATTTTTATATTTTTAGTAGAGATGGGGTATCACCATGTTGGCCAGACTGGTCTCAAACTTCTGATCTCAAGTGATCCTATTGCCTCAGCCTCCCAAAGTGTTGGAATTACAGTCATGAGCCACTTGGCTGGCCAAGTGAAGCCTTTTTGAAGAGCTAATTCTAAATCTTCATCCTATGGATTAATAAATTAGGCTGATGAAGCAGTGTGAGAAGAGAATACTATACTGGGCAAACCTGTTACACAAAGGTATGCTGGTGTGATGTAGTGTGACATGGAGCATTTGGGAAAGTGTAAGTAATTATTTCTGGAATATATAAGGAAGAGAGTGATTAGAGATATCAGGTCATAGAAGCTCTTATATACCATGTTTAAAAGTTTGCCATCCTGGGCCACATAGTGAGACCCCATCTCTCCAAAAAATTAAAAAATTAGCTAGGTGTGGTGGTATGCATGTGTAGTCCCAGCTACTCAGGAGTCTGAGGTAAGATGATTACTTGATCCAGGAGTTCAAGGCTACAGTGAGCCATGGTCGTGCCACTGCACTCTAGCCTAGGGAAAAAAGCAAGACCCTGTCTCAAAAAAAAAAAAAGTTTAGATTTTATTTATTCTGAGGTATTGAAAGGTTTTAAACAGAAAAGTAGATAATCATTGAATTTGCATTTTCCTGTGCGTACATTGTGGAGAATTAGTTAATGAAAGCAAAACTAAGAGCAAATCAGGAAGCTGTTGCAGTGGTCCAGCCTAGAGGCAACTGAGGCAGAGTAGTATTGGTAGAGAATGGAATGACTGAGAAATATTTAGAAAATAAAACTGGCTGGCGTTTCGATACTGATTGGGTATGTGGGTTGGGAAGAGGGAAGAATCAAGACAGTAGTGCAGATGCAAATGCCATTAACTATGATCAGGACCAGAGAAAGAACATCAGGCTCAGCAGAGATGAGGAAGAGTTCCGCTTTGCATGTACTGAGCTTTCACAGCCTGAGTTCAGCTAAGTGGAGAGATCTTGCTGCCTGCTGGATATCAAACTTTGCAGGCTTGGGTGAGGAACCAGGTGGGAGAGGAGTGTGAGGTTAGTCCTAAAGATGGAATTCAAATTTGGAGGCACATGAGGGCCTGGAACCCTAGGGAAAACAATCAGAAAGAGCAATACAATCAACCAGAGAAGTGACTTTAGGGAACACCAGGGCTTAAGGAACAGATAGAAGAGTGGGAGAAGGTGGCAGAAAAGAAGCCTGCACTCCAGAAGAGGAGGGAAGAGCCATGCATGCATTCAGGATCTCTCTGGGGATAGTGAGCCCATGTTAGATTGCAAGGTTAAGTGAATATTTAGCAAATGTTGCAGGTTCTCAGTTATTAATGCATTGACCTTGGTGCCTTGTACTCTCCCTTTCCCTCTGCCTTTTCCCACCAATCCAGGGCCTCATGCTGTCCTTGATTAGCAAGTGTGACTGAGGGCTGATAGCTATTTTAATAGCTATTCTGGCCTATGTACTCTTTTAGCAGATAGTATATTTCTTTTTTTTTTTTTTTTTTTTTTTTTTTTTTGTTTGTTTTTTTGTGTCGGTTTTTTGCTCTTGTTACCCAGGCTGGAGTGCAATGGCGCGATCTCGGCTCACCGCAACCTCCGCCTCCTGGGTTCAGGCAATTCTCCTGCCTCAGCCTCCTGAGTAGCTGGGATTACAGGCACGCACCACCATGCCCAGCTAATTTTTTGTATTTTTAGTAGAGACGGGGTTTCACCATGTTGACCAGGATGGTCTCGATCTCTTGACCTCGTGATCCACCTGCCTCGGCCTCCCAAAGTGCTGGGATTACAGGCTCGAGCCACCGCGCCCGGCCTCAGATAGTATATTTCTTATACAGGCCATGTGAAATGGAAAACATTCATGTGTATTTGTTTTGCTCTTTTAGGAACCTGTCGCTCCTTCCGGAATCAACTTTGTTTAGATTAGACCAGGAAGAAAAAAATTGTGATATAGATACCCCATTAGGAAATCTTTCTAAATTGATGGAAAACACATTTGTCAGGTTTGTAACAATGAATGAATTTGAATTTCATTCCATTTTTCTAAGGAATATTACTAAAAGTGTGCTTTTTGTCTTTTCAGCAAAAAGCTTCGAGATTTAATTATTGACTTTCGTGAACCTCATTTTATATCCTACCTTAGTTCTGTTCTTCCACATGATGCAAAGGATACAGTTGCCTGCATTCTAAAGGGTATGCTAAAATCACCGTGTCTGCTTTGATTAATTTTTCTTGTTTCTATTTGATTTATACTGTAGCCTGATATCTTGATTAGACTTGCAATTACAATGTTTAGACAAGACTCGTTGGAAATAGTTTTGTAATGAGGAATAGACTTGGATAGAGACTACTTTTCTTGTAAAATTATTAATTTTTCCTTTGAAATTCAATGCTTTTTTTCCTGTTATTTTTTAATTTAAATGTAGGTTTGAATAAGCCTCAGAGGCAAGCAATGAAAAAGGTTCTTCTTTCAAAAGACTACACACTCATCGTGGGTATGCCTGGGACAGGAAAAACAACTACAATATGTACTCTTGTAAGGTTATTATTCTTCTGCTTAGAAACTAAATGTTTATATCAGTTTCTCCTCAGTTCAGAGGATGTAATATTTAACATCAAAATGGCTGAATTTTAATTCAGAGTGTCTTTGTTTCAAATGAACTTTTTTGAATGACATGAGAAATAGTAAAGCTGAATCACAAACAGTTATAATCATGTTGTAGACTTCCTAAGATCTAAGATTCTAAATTTAGAATTTCCTAAGATCTCTTTCCGTTAGTGTTATGTGATATATATCGCTGTATGTTTTCCTTTCCCTTTAAAAATGATGTAATTGATTTTTCTTGGATTTTTTTTCATGTCAGTAAATTTCTAAGCAGTTTTAGAATAATTATAATAATGGCAGCAAATATTTAATTGATACTGTGTGCCAGACACTACTAAAAGTTACATGGGCCAGGCAAGGTGGATCATGCCTGTAATCCCAGCACTATGGGAGTCTGAGACGGAAGGATTGGTGTTTGATACCAGGTTGGAATGCAGTGGCATGATCACTGCTCATGCAGCCTCAACCTCCTGGGCTGAAACAGTCCTCGTGCCTGAGCCTCCCAAGTAGCTGAGACCACAGGGGTGCACTACCTTGCCTAATGACAAAAATAATTTTTTTTTTTTTTTAGATGGAGTTTTGCTCTTGCTACCCAGGCTGGAGTGCAATGGCGCGATCTCGGCTCACCGCAACCTCCACCTCCTGGGTTCAGGCAATTCTCCTGCCTCAGCCTCCTGAGTAGCTGGGATCACAGGCATGCGCCACCATGCCCAGCTAATTTTTGTATTTTTAGTAGAGATGGGGTTTTACCATGTTGACCAGGATGGTGTTGATCTCTTGACCTCGTGATCCACCCGCCTCGGCCTCCCAAAGTGCTGGGATTACAGGCGTGAGCTACTGCACCCGGCCCAAAAATAATTTTTAAAAAAAGAGATGGGGGTCTCACTTTGTTGCCCAGGCCAGTCTTGAATTCCTTGGCTCAAGTGATCCACTTGCTTCAGCCTCCCAAAGTGCTCGGATTACAATCTTCAGCCACCATGCCTGGCCTATGATGTATTATTGACATATTATTCATAATATATAATAATGTCATATAATTTTTGTAAAATATTTTGGCTCTATAATTTTTTTAAAAAGTCACTTGGCAGGCCGGGCGCGGTGGCTCATGCCTATAATCCCAGCACTTTGGGAGGCCGAGGCGGGTGGATCACGAGGTCAAGAGATCGAGACCATCCTGGTCAACATGGTGAAACCCCGTCTCTACTAAAAATACAAAACATTAGCTGGGCATGGTGGTGCATGCCTGTAATCCCAGCTACTCAGGAGGCTGAGGCAGGAGAATTGCCTGAACCCAGGAGGCAGAGGTTGCGGTGAGCCGAGATCGCGCCATTGCACTCCAGCCTGGGTAACGAGAGCGAAACTCTGTCTCCAAAAAAAAAAAAAAAAAAAGTCACTTGGCTCAGCTCGTAGATGTGGTTCTTGTTACGTTTATAAGCATGTTAAGAATTATCTGGAATTAAAAGTAAGGCTTTTTTTTTTTCTCTTGCCCATTATTAGGTAAGAATTCTCTACGCCTGTGGTTTTAGCGTTTTGTTGACCAGCTACACACACTCTGCTGTTGACAACATTCTTTTGAAGTTAGCCAAGTTTAAAATAGGATTTTTGCGTTTGGGTCAGACTCAGAAGGTTCATCCAGCTATCCAGAAATTTACAGAGCAAGAAATTTGCAAATCAAAGTCCATTAAATCCTTAGCTCTTCTAGAAGAACTCTACAATAGTCAAGTAAGCATAATTATTGTATAATAATACTAACAGTTAATTTCCACAGCCAGAATGAAGGGAGAAACAGTACTCTGGGAAATTGAGTCACATTGACTGGATTTGCATGTGATTATATGTACCATAGGACCAGTTTATTAACTTATAGTTTGCTGTTTCCTTCTGAACTGAAATAAGGTTTTTTAGTTTATTATGATGATCATCATCATCATTTTCCTTTTTTTTTCTCACCTAGACTCTCAGGTGAGATCATTATTTAGGGCTCTCTTCTAGTTTCAAACATCCTAGAAAACTACTAATAATCAGGGTTTCTTAGTGAGTTTGAACTAGAAGCAATGGTACTTAATAGTCTTGTTATAACTATCTCTAGACTTTTATATGGAACCTAATTTTTATTTTATTTTGTTATTTAATGTTTATTTTTACTTAGAATTCCTGAGTTTTTTTTTTTCCGAGACGGAGTCTCACTCTCTCGCCTAGGCTAGAGTACAGTGGCACGATCTCAGCTCACTTTAACCTCCACCTCCTGGGTTCAAGCGATTCTCTGCCTCAGCATCCCGACTAGCTGGGATTACAGGAGCCTGCCACCACACCCAGCTAATTTTCATATTTTTAGTAGAGATGGGGTTTCATTATCTTTGTCAGGCTGGTCTTGAACTCCTGACCTCATGATCCACCTGCCTTGGCCTCTCAAAGTGCTAGGATTACAGGCATGAGCCACCGCACCCAGCCTGATTTTTTTTTTTAAGTGACCAGGGTCTTACTATGTTGTGTAGTACTTGGGCTGGACTCCTGGGCCCAAGCGAACCTTCCACCTCAGATCCCCAAGTAGCTGGGACTGTAGGTTCGGCTATAGTGCCTGGCTTAACTGATATTTTTGTGTTTAAAAACTTCCCCAAAATTAGATTTAATAGGTTATTCCTTCACCTCCTTGTCCAATGCTAGCATGTTTTTGTCTAAATCTATGCCTGTTATTGATAAATTTAGAACTGGCTAAGATGTCTATCTGGTTAACATTTTCATTAAACATTTTATTTTGAGGTAATTGTAGATTCACATGCAGTTGTAAGAAATGCTAGCGAGAGCCTATAAACCACCCTTTATCCAGCAGTGACACCTTGCCTATCTGTATTACAATGTCACAACCAGGATGTTGACATTGATACAGTCGATATCTTTTTTTTTTTTTTTTTTTTTGAGCTGGAGTCTTGATCTTGTCACCCAGGCTGGAGTGCAATGGCATAGTCTCAGCTCACTGCAACCTCTGCCTCTTGGATTCAAGCGATTCTCCTGATTCAAGCGATTCTCCTGCCTCAGCCTCCTGAGTAGCTGCAATTATAGGTGCGCACCACCACGACCTGCTCATTTTTTGTATTTTTAGTAGAGACAGAGTTTTGCCATGTTGGCCAGGCTGGTCTCCAACTCCTGACCTTGTGATCTACCCACCTTGGCCTCCCAAAGGATTACAGACATGACCCACCGCCCCCAGCCAGCCTGATACAGTTCCTATTTTTTTTGAGATGGAGTTTCACTCTTGTTGCCCAGGCTGGAGTACAATGGCGCAATCTCGGCTCATTGCAACCTCCACCTCCCGGATTCAAGCAATTCTCCAGCCTCAGCCTCTCAAGTAGCTGGGATTACGGGCATGCACCACCATGCCTGGCTAATTTTGTATTTTTAGTAGAGACGGGGTTTCTCCATGTTGGTCAGGCTGGTCTCGAACTCCTGACCTCAGGTGATTTGCCTGCCTCAGCCTCCCAATGTGCTGGGATTACAGGCATGAGCCATTGCACCGGCCTACAGTTCCTATTTTATTACTACAAGATTCCTCATGTTGCACTTTTATAGTTGTATCCACTTCTCTCCTGCCTTACCGCTCCTTAACCTCTGATAGCCATGACTCTGATCTCCATTTTGATAATTTGGTTGTTTAAGAATGTTATGTAAATCTTTTGGGATTAGTGTTTTTCACTCAGCCTGATTCTCAGAGCTTCCCCCAGATAGTTGCATATGTTAATTGTTCATTACTTTTTGTTGCCGAGTATTTTTCCATAGCATGGGTGTGCTGCATTGTGTTTAACCATTCACCCTCTGAAAATCTGGATTGTTTCCAGTTTTGGGATGTTATGAATAAAGCTGCTGTAAACACTCATGTTACAGGTTTTTGTGTTACATAAGTTTTCATTTTTCTGGGATAAATCCCCAGTAGTACAGCTTCTGGATCAAATTGGTAGTCGCATGTTCATTTTTTTTTTAATCTACTAGACTGTTTTTCTAAGCAGGAACATTTTATATTCCCATCACATGAGCGATCTCAGCACTGGTGGTGATACTGTGTTTAAATTTAGCCATCTTGATAGGTGTTTGAAGATTTTAATTTGCATTTACCCAGTAGTTAATGATGTTTTCTGTGTGTGTTCATGTGTGTGTATGTGCGTGCACATGGGTGTGTGTGTGTGTTTGGGACAGGATCTTGCTCTGTTTCCCAGGCTGGAGTGCACTGGTGAGACCGCTCACTGCAGCCCTGACCTCCTGGGCTCAAGTGATCTTCCTGCCTCAGCCTCCTGAGTAGCTGGAACTACAGGCATGTACCACCATGCCTGCCTAGTATTTAAAATTTTTCTTTATGTTGTCCAGGCTGGTCTTGAACTCCTGGCCTCAAGTGATCCTCCTACCTCTGTCTGCCTCCCAAAGTGTTGAGATTACAGGTGTGAGTCACTGCATCCAGTCATAATGAGGTGTTTGTTTTGTTTTGTTTTTGTGACAGAGTTTTGCAGTTACTGCACGGGCTGGAGTGTAGTGTCTCAAACTCAGCTCACTGCAACCTCTGTCTCCTAGATTCAAGTGATTCTCTTGCCTCAGCCTCCCATGTAGCTGGGATTACAGACATGCACCACCATGTCCAGCTAATTTTGCATTTTTTTCAGTAGAGATGGGGATTTACCATGTTGGCCAGGCTGGTCTAGAATTCTTGACCTCAGGTGATCCACCCATCAGACTCCCAAAGTGCTAGGACTACAGACTTGAGCTACCGCGCTTGGCTCCTAATGACATTTTCATGTGCTTGTCATCTGTATATCTTCTTCATGTCTTTTGCTCATTTTGGATTATATGCTTTGTAGTGTTGAGTTTTGAGAATTTTTAAAATGTATATTCTAATACTAGCCCTTTAATGGTTATGTGGTTGTAGGTGTTTTCTCCCACTCTGTCACTTGCTTTTTATCCTCCTCACAGGGTTTTATGCAGAGCAAAAGGTGTTTGTTTTTCTTTTTTTTTTGAGACAGACTCTCATTGTGTCGCCCAGGCTGGAGTACAGTGGTGTGATCGCCACTCACTGCAACCTCTGCCTCCCAGGTTCAAGTGATTCTCCTGCCTCAGCCTTCCATGTAGCTGAGACTACAGGCACAAGCTACCATGCACAGCTGATTTGTGTATTTTTAGTAGATATGGGGTTTCACTGTATTGGCCAGGCTGGTCTCAAACTCCTGACCTCATGATCCACTTGCCTCAGCTTCCCAAGTAGCTGGGACTACTGGCATGCACAACCATGCCTGGTTAATTTTTTATATTTTTAGTAGAAATGGGATTTCACTGTGTTGGCCAGGATGGTCTCAAACTCCTGACCTCAAGTGATTTGCCCTCCTTGGTCTCTCGAGCCACCACGCCCAGTCTGGTATTTTGTTTTTTTGGTGTTTTTTTTTTTTTTTTTTTTTTTTTTTTTTGAGACAGGTCACACTTTGTCATCGAGGCTGGAGTGCAGAGGCATGATCATGGCTCACTGCAGCCTTGACCTCCAGGTCTCAAGTGATCCTCCTGCTCAGCACCCCTAAGTAGGTGGAACTACAGGTGTATGCCACCATGTTTAGCTTATTTTTGTATATTTTGTAGAGACAGGTTTTCTCCATGTTTCTCAGGCTAGTCTCAAACTCCTGAGCCCCAGCAATCTGCCCACCTTGGCCTCCCAAAGTGTTGGGATTACAGGCGTGAGCCATTGCACCCAGCCCAGTTATCCTGTTTTTTCTATTTCTTCGCCGAGACTTTGCTTTTTGTTCATTTGATTCAAGTGTGTTCATAATCACTCATTAAAATGTTGTTACCATGGCTGCTTTAAAATCTTGATCAGATAGTTCTAACATCTCTGTCATTGTGGTGTTAGCATTTATAGATTGTCATCTTTTTTCATTGAGTTTGAGATTTTCCTGGTTCTTATAATAATTGATTTTTAATCGAAACATGAGCATATTTTATTATTATTGAAAACTTCTGTTTTAGCTGGCTTCCTTTCACACTGCCTTGGTAGGGGAAGAGGGGGTACCACCTCATTACTGCAAGGTGGGAGTCGAAGTGTGGGTTCCTCGCTCAGCCCTCTTTGACCAAGGTGGGATGCTCCTCATTACCGCTGGGTGTGCTGGATGGGGGGTGAAAGTCTAGGCTCCCGATATGGTCTCCATTAACATTAGGGGTTGGTACCAGTTACCAGTCGTCAGGGATGAAAGACCTGACCCCCTACCTGGCTTTCTCTGACACCAGCCTGGTGAGGCATGGGGCACCTTGTTACAGCCTTGAGAAGGGTGGGGATCTACCCTCCTCAGTGTTGGCTGCTGTCTGTGGTAGTGGGGCTGTACTTTTTTTTCTGTGGTATTTGGCTAGAGTGGTTATTGTGTGAAAGTTTTCTGTCTGCTAGGCTTTCCCTTTACTGTTCCTTCAGCTAGAGAGAGGAGACTTGGGTTGAAGCTGTTTTTAGTCAGCACCCATTGGTGTTCCTGGGTTGTGGCTCCCTCAATTCCAAATCTGGAATCTATGAGGCAATACAAAAGCGCAGAGAATCAACTAGTGTGTTGTTTCTTTGGTCCTGAGCTCCCTAGCTGGTCTGCCTTCTCTCCACCTTTCAGAGTCTTCTTTTGTTTGTTTTATATATATAATGCATAGGTATTTTAGTTGTTGTTTATGGAAAGCATAAGGAAAAGTACTCCTTCTTCCCAGAAGCAATGTCCTGGTTGACATTAAACAAAACAAAACAAACTTACTAACTTATTGCCTCTTGAATGTTTCAGATTTCCATTGGGAAATATCCAAATGTGAGCATTGTTCATAGTGTCTGGAAAATTTACTTATTTTTAATTTATAGAAAAAAAATAAAATTTGCATGCTATAAATATTTCAGAATTAAATCATATCAAAGGATTCCTAATGCCATAGAATAAAAACCTTTTTCTGATCTTTTCATTTCAAAGATGAGAGAAACAACACTACATTTCTTTTACATATTAAATAACTGATTTGTTTTCCTTGTTTTTAGCTTATAGTTGCAACAACATGTATGGGAATAAACCATCCAATATTTTCCCGTAAAATTTTTGATTTTTGTATTGTGGATGAAGCCTCTCAAATTAGCCAACCAATTTGTCTGGGCCCCCTTTTTTTTTCACGGAGATTTGTGTTAGTGGGCGACCATCAGCAGCTTCCTCCCCTGGTGCTAAATCATGAAGCAAGGTAGGCAGACGTTTAAGTGTTAATTTTAAACCGGATTCTATTTAAGGGACAGATTTAGTACACTGGTAAACCTGAATCTGATTTGTTGACAGAGCTCTTGGCATGAGTGAAAGCTTATTCAAGAGGCTGGAGCAGAATAAGAATGCTGTTGTACAGCTAACCGTGCAGTACAGAATGAACAGGTATTTGTAACAGTTAGCCAGGAGTGGTTTTCATGTTTGTTTCCATCTACCAAAACTAAAGTTATCTGTTGTAATTCCCTTAGTAAAATTATGTCCTTAAGTAATAAGCTGACCTATGAGGGCAAGCTGGAGTGTGGATCCGACAAAGTGGCCAATGCAGTGATAAACCTACCTCACTTTAAAGATGTGAAGCTGGAACTGGAGTTTTATGCTGACTATTCTGATAATCCTTGGCTGATGGGAGTATTTGAACCCAACAATCCTGTTTGTTTTCTTAATACAGACAAGGTAATAAAAATTTTCTCTTTCAGTTTTTCTCATTTTGTTATATTATTTAAGTTTCTCAGTTTGCATTAGCATATGCCCTGTTTAGAGCTTACCAGTTAAAAGGCAAAACTAATGTACTTCTCATACTTGAACCCCAAATAGCCTTTTCTTTCTTTATGTGTTTTTTTTTGTTTGTTTGAGACAGAGTCTAACTGTGTCACCCAGGCTGGAGTGCAGTGGCGTGATCTTGGCTCACTGCAACTTCCTCCTCCCAGATTCAAGCAAGTCTCCTGCATCAGCCTCCCAAGTAGATGGGATTACAGGCGCCCAGCACCACACCTGGCTAATTTTGTATTTTTAGTAGAGATGGTTTTAACCATGTTGGCCAGGCTGGTCTCAAACTCCTGGCCTCGAGTGATATGCCCTTTTTGGCTTCCCCAAGTGTTGGGATTACAGGCATGAGCCACTGCGCCTGGCTTTTCCCAAGGACTTTAAATGGCTTGATGCTTATTTTTGAGAACTAAGAATTAAGTTTTGACTCTATATTTCTACAGTTTGCTTTACGTAGTGTTTCTTAGCATTGAGTTGGAAGCCTTAAGTTCAAATAAAAATATAGTGACCTTTTGGACGTGGTGACTCACGCCTATAATTCTAGCACTTTGGGATGCCAAGGCAGAAGGATCAGTTGAAGCCAGGAGTTGAAGGCCAGCCTGGGTAATATAGTGAGACCTTGTTTGCAAAAAAAAAAAAAAAAATCTTTAAAAAATTATCTGGATGTGGTTGGGCATGGTGGCTCACGCCTGTAATCCTAGCACTTTGGGAGACCGTGGTGGGCAGATTATTTGAGTTTAGGAGTTCAAGACCAGCCTGACCAACATGGTAAAACTCCATCTCTGCTAAAAATACAAAAAAATTAGCCAGGTATTATGGTGCTTACCTATGGCCTCAGCTACTCAGGAGGCTGAGGCAGGAGAATCTCTTGAACCCAGGAGGTGAAGGTTGCAGTGAGCCAAGATCATGCCACTGCACTCCAGCCTGAGTGACCAATCAAGACTCTGTCTCAAAAAAACAAAACAAAACAAAAAAATTACCTGGGCATGGCAGTGTGTACCTGCAGTCCTAGCTACTTAGGAGACTGAGCAGGAGGATTGCTTAATTCCAGTTGTCAAAGCTGCTGTGAGCTGTGATTACATCACTGCAATCCAGCTTGGATAACAGCAAGACCCTGTCTTAAGAAAATAAAATAAGAATATAGCAATGGCCAGGGGTGGTGGCTCACACCTGTAATCTAAGCACTTTGGAGGCCAAGACGGGCAGATCACCTGAGGTTTGGAGTTCAAGATCAGCCTGACCAACATGGTGAAACCCCGTCTTGAAAAGAAAAAAAAAAAATTAAAAAAATTAAGAATATAGCAACCAATTATGTGAGCATATTATTCTAAAATCATTGTTTCCTGTTATTAAGATGGATGGAGCTAGCTCTACTACATGTCTGTGATGGAATTTTCATCTCATAGATACTGCCCTTAGCAACTTGGGTTGAAGAATTTTATTTTATCTTAACACCTAGAGGCAGGCAGACTTTGGAAAATGATTCAGATAAACTGATTTCACAAATGACTGCTTTTATAAACCAGGATTCTAGCTTATTAATTGTAAGTTTCATTTATTTACTTCACCAATGATTGCTCAGATTCTTTATTTTTGCTACTTGGATTTTCTCTTTTTTACCATCAGGATTCCAAGTAAATTGCATTAAAAATAATCAAGTTTGCTTAGGGATGATGTAGGAGGAAAGCAGTCTTTGAAGAGATGTATCAGGCGTGGCAGCAGTTTTATCTGCTCCATTATTTGTATAAAAGGGGACAAGAAAACGGAAAGAGCACAGATAATGAGACCCAGATCTAAGTTTGAATACTAGCGCCACAGTTTATTGTGAGGCCTTGGGCAAGTTACTTATTCTTTTCTACCTTTGATTCCTGTAAAATGGGGGATGACAAAGTAAAGTATATAAAGCTCAGTGTGTGATCAGCTTTTGTAGGTATTTTAGCCTCAATCGTAGCATGTTTAAGCTAGGTGGTCTCTGCATGGCTTTCTGAAAGTGACTAATATTAATATCATTCATTTTTGTTGATTCTTTCACCTTCAACTTTAGACAAAGATATTTTTCATCTCCAAATTGGTAGTGCAATCTTTATGGCCACTTATGTACTTAGAGTACTCTTTCCTTTATTGCATTATCAGCAAGCTGTATATTTTTCTACTTAGGTTCCAGCACCAGAGCAAATTGAAAAAGGTGGTGTGAGCAATATAACAGAAGCCAAACTCATAGTTTTCCTAACCTCCATTTTTATTAAGGTAATTTAGATTTTTCAAGGCTAACAAATATTAAAGTGCAGAATAATAGAATATTAGACTGTAAGAAGGCTATAATCTTGGCAGCTCTCCTTTAAGATAAGGGGATTGAAGCCTGGTTGTTTTTATTTTAAGAAATGTATCTCAGCTTCCTCTGATGGTAGAAGTGTGTAAAAAAAAAAAAAATGTATCTAAGACATGTAATATTTTATAATGACATTTGGAATTTTCATTTAGGATAATAACTTTTTGTAATGTGAGCTAATTCTAATTGAGTCAATACTGTGATGTAGTAATGGGGGATTGGAAACTTTACTGTGAAAGAAATAGCAAAAGATGAAATGTATTTATTTGTACTGTTGTGTGTGTGAGTGTGAGCACTGTTTTAGTGGCATATAAACCATGACTTTGCCATGAGACTCTAAAAATTAAGGGAGCAATGTCTAAGGCATTATTTCATCATGGGAAATATGGACAGATTTGGAGCAAATTCAGTAATTGTATTCAGTCTTTGAGATAGGAAAATCTGTTATAAACATCAGTTGGGCACATAATGGAAATATTTAAATTAAATTCAGAAAAGTTTAACTTCAACAAGATTTCTTTATTTTAAATTGTGTCTTTTTCTATGTAGGCTGGATGCAATCCCTCTGATATTGGTATTATTGCACCATACAGGCAGCAGTTAAAGATCATCAGTGATTTATTGGCACATTCTTCTGTTGGGATGGTCGAAGTTAATACAGTAGACAAATACCAAGGAAGAGACAAAAGTATTGTCCTAGTATCTTTCGTTAGAAGTAATAAGGATGGAACTGTAAGTTAATTATGTTTGCTACTGATTCATTTGGGACATTTCTCTTTTAAAAATTGTGTGGCCATGCACAGTGGCTCATGCCTGTTACCCCAGCACTTTGGGAGGCCAAGGCAAGTAGATCTCCTGAGGTCAGGAATTTGAGACCAGTCTGGCCAACGAGGCAAAACCCTGTTTCTACTGAAAATACAAAAAATTAGTCGGGTGTGGTGGCAGGCGCCTGTAATCTCAGCTACTTGGGAGGCTGAGGCAGGAGAATTGCTTGAACCTGGAAGGCAGAGGTTGCAGTAAGCCGAGATCGTGCCATTGCACTCCAGCCTGAGTGGCAGAGTGAGACTCTGTCTCAAAAAAATATATATATGGTTTAACATTGAGAACACATGGACACAGAGAGGGAAACAGCGTACACCATGGCCTGTTGTGGGGTGGGAACTTAGAAGACAGGTCAATAGGGGAAGTAAACCACCATGGCACATGTATACTTATGTAACAACACTGCACGTTCTGCAGATGTATTCCATTTTTTTTTTAACGTAAACTCAAGATTTTGTTGTCTTCATAAAAGAAAAGATGACACTTAGAACTGGATCATTTGGCCCTTTCTCTTATCTCCTCCCAGTTCAAAATGCTTGCATCTTTTAATAGCTAGCATTCTCTTAGATCTGCAGTTGGGCTCGACACACTCAAGCCTTAGCACAATCTTCTTTGTAGTTTTAGCCTTTTTCTGGAAAATCGCCTTAGTTTTGCCCACAATAGACACTCTGCTTCCTGTCATAACACTGCTTTCCCTGGGCATACAGAGAATCCTTGCCCATCTTGTACTGTGTCACTTTGTGGGGTTGGTGCTTGCCACTCTTACAGAAAGTCGGGTGGGTTTTAGGAACGTTCACCGTGTTTGCGTGAGTGCTACCAGCACAGAAAGAAAACATCTTACCTTTTTTTTTTTTTGAGATGGAGTTTTACTCGTTGCCCAGGCTACAGTGCAATGGTGCCATCTTGGCTCAATGCAACCTCCACCTCCCAGGTTCAGGCCATTCTCCTGCCTCAGCCTCCTGAGTAGCTGGGATCACAAGTGCCTGCCAGCACACCTGGCTAATTTTGTATTTTTAGTAGAGATGGGGTTTTACCATGCTGGTCAGGCTGGTCTCGAACTCCTGACCTCAGGTGATCCAACTGTCTTGGCCTCCCAAAGCGCTGGAGTGCTGGTAGTATAGGTGTGAGCCACTGTGCCCAGCCACTTTTTTTTTTTTTGATATGGAGTCTTGCTCTGTCACCCAGGCTGGAGTGCTGTGGTGCAATCACAGCTTACTGCAACCTCCGCTTCCCGGGTTCAAGCGATTCTCCTGCCTTAGCCTCCTGGGTAGCTGGGACTACAGGCATGTGCCACCATAACAGGCTAATTTTTAAAAATATTTTTAGTAGAGACAGGGTTTCACCATGTTAGCCAGGATGGTCTTGATCTCCTGACCTCATTATCTGCCTGTCTTGGCCTCCCAAAGTGCTGGGATTATAGGTGTGAGCCACTGCGCCTGGCCACATCTTACCATTTGTAAGTGTACAGTTTAATAGTGTTAAGTACGTTCACATTGTTGTTCAATGGATCTCTGGAACTTTTTCATTTTGAAATCTACAACTCTGTATTCATGAGCAACCACCCACTTCCCTCTTCCCCAGCCCTGTAATCACCATTCTACTTTCTGTCTCTGAATTTGACTAATCTAAGTACCTCACATAAGTAGAATCGTACAGTATTTATCTTTTAGTGACTAGCTTATTTCAGTTTGCCAGCTAGATTAACCTGTTGTAGCATGTGACAGGATTTCCTTCCTTTTTAAGACTGAATAATATTCCATTGTCTGTATATACCACATTTTTTTTTTTTTTTTGAGACGGAATTTCGCTCTTGTTACCCAGGCTGGAGTGCAATGGCGCGATCTCGGCTCACCGCAACCTCCGCCTCCTGGGTTCAGGCAATTCTCCTGCCTCAGCCTCCTGAGTAGCTGGGATTACAGGCACACGCCACCATGCCCAGCTAATTTTTTGTATTTTTAATAGAGACGGGGTTTCACCATGTTGACCAGGATGGTCTCGATCTCTTGACCTCGTGATCCACCCGCCTTGGCCTCCCAAAGTGCTGGGATTACAGGCTTGAGCCACCGCGCCCGGCCACATTTTTAATTTATCCATTTATCTGTCAGATGGAATGGTTGCTTCCACCCCTTGGCTGTTGTATTTGAGGCTTAAATATAAAATCTTCCTTGTATACTTTCAAATTTATATATAATTCAGGGTTTTTTTGTTTTTTGTTGTTTTTGAGACAGGGTCTGTCACCCAGACTGGTGTGCAATGCACAATCTTGGCTCACTGTAACATCCACCTTCCTGGCTCAGTGATCCTCCCATCTCAGCCTCCTGGGTAGCTGGGACTACAGGCATGTGCCACCATACCCAGTTAATTTTTGTATGTTTTGTAGAGATGACATTTCACCACGTTGCCCAAGCTGGTGGGCAACTCTCGAGCTCAAGGGGTCCTCCCGCCTCGATCTCCTGAAATGGTTTTTTTTTTTTTTTTTTTTTTTTTTTTTTTTTTTTTTTTGAGAC